GTTTGATCCCCAGCCAGGAAAGTGACCCACATGCCGCAGCAGACCTCTCTTGTCTTGCTCACTGCTCCCCTTGGCAGTGTATTTCAGTAGATCCACCTGTTCTACTCCCCACTCTGTCTCTGGTGAATCCTCTCACCGCCTATCCCTCTGGCCTGCACCCCAGCTCCTGTATGCATAAATAAATAAATCTTTAAAAAAAAAAAAAGGCAAGAGTATCTGAAAAATATGTATAAGCACTGCTTATAAAATGAAAAAACTAGGCCTACCTGGTGACCTAGGGGTTAAGTCTCAGTGCTACAACCAGGAGGGCCAAGGCAAGGGCCTGGGTTCAATCCCTGGCAGAGAGCTAACAACCCACCTGGCGCAGCAGACCTCGCCTGTTTCACCCACTGCTTCCCTTTGTGGTCTATTCCAGTGGATCTGCCTGTTCTGCTCCCCACTCTGTCCCTGGTGAATCCTCTCAACCCCAGTTCTTCTACGCAAAAATAAAATCTTTAAAAAAAAAAAAGCTAAAAAACCTGAAAACAGTCTACTTCTCTATCAATAAAACAGACAAATAAATCAGGCATAGTGGGCCTCCCTGGTGGCGCAAGGGTTAGTTAAGCACCACACTATGAAGCAATCCGTAGCCTCTGCAGCACGAGTTCGATCCCCGGCCGGCCAGGGAGCAACCCACATGGCGATACAGACCTCTCCTGCCTCACCCACTGCTCCCCTCAGCAGTGTGGTACAGTCAGTCTGTCAATTCTGTTCCCCACTCTGTCTCTAGTGAATCCTCTCACGCCCCCCCCCCGCATCTGTACCCCAGCTCTTGTATGCGATAAATAAATCGTTTTAAAAAATCATACACAGTACATGAATGTGATGGAATACTTTAACAAGAATGAGGCAGATCTGTAACACTGAAATGGAAAGCAGTCTATGATCTAGTATATAGACTACAGGGTCCTGGCATCAGATCACCTGGGTTTGAATTGTGGCTCCCCCACTAACTATCTACAACTCTCGGCACTTTTTTCTCTATGCTTCAGTTTCCTCATCAATAAAATAGGGATAATAGTACTATAGTACCTACCTCAATGATATGAAGATTGCCTGAGATAGTACATGTAGAGTTTTTAGTATGTTACAAGGCCATGTAATCACTTACAAGGATATATAATAAAAATTTATTATATATTTATTATATAATAATAAACATCACAGCTAAACATTTGTTAAGTAAAATAGACAAGTGCTGACCCTATGTATGTTTAAAGCATGTCCCATTCAGGGGTAAAAGGTAGCAAGTTATTTAACTATAGAAAAAAATCAAGAAGACAGAAAACTTATTAGTGGTTAACTGCAGGAGACAGAAGACATTTCTTTTTTTTTTTTTAAGATTTATATATTTATGCATACAAGAACTGGGGTGTAGGTCAGAGGTGTGGGTCGGCGAGAGGATTCATCAGAGACAAAGTGGGGAGCAGAAGAGGCAGATGTACTGAAATACACTGATGAGGGAAGCAGTGAGCATGACAGAAGAGGTCTGCTGCACCATGTGGGTTGGCTACCTGACCAGGGATCGAACTCATGTTTCAGTGGCTGCTGATAGCGTGTCTTTACCCCCTGCGCCACCAAGGAGGCCCGAGACATATTTCTTAATATACATACTTTCTTAATGGAGGGATTTTAGAAGAGAGTGTTTTTAAATAAAAAAGTAATGGTGTAGGGCCCCCCCTGTGGCACAGCGGTTGAGCGCTGGGTTGCGAAGCTGCCCGCAGCCTCTGCAGCGCCAGTTCGATCCCCGGCTGCTCCCAGGCCACGGGAGGAGGGTCCCACATGGTGCACCTCTCCTGCCACCAGCTGCTCCCCTCAGCAGTGTACTTCGGTCCTTCTGCCTGCTCTGCTCCCCGCTCTGGCTCTGGTGAATTCTCTCACCCTCCCGCGCTTCTGACTGTACCCAGTGCTTGTATAAATAAATAAATAAATAAATAAATAAATCTTTAAAAAAAAAAGTAATGGTGTAAAATCAGAGCAAATGTTTCAAAAATATAACTTAGATGTAAAAAAAATTTAAAATCAAATGCTTTTAAATGATATTGTCTTTGAATTCTCAAGGGAAAATGAAATCAGCTGAACTCTTTGGCTGTTAAGATTTCTTGAAGATTAACTTCTCAAAAAAAATTACCAAATGAGTAAAAGAATAAGCAGAAAATAATACATTTCAATTAATATACAAATCTAATCTTTTCTTACTCTATATATCTACCTGATAAACAAAGGTATGTCAAAAAAGAAAAAACAATGTCAACACAAAACACAATTGCTTCTAAGAATGTGTCAAAAGAAAGATTAAGTAAGAAATGAAGCAGTTATCTTTTACTGTCAATTTGACACAAAGAATTCTGCATTTTTTTAAATCAGCAGGGGTAGGAAACTTGAGTATGTTTAAAGTTAAAGCGTTAAGAAGTGGTTTATTCAAGGGATCAGGAAAAAGAATAACTATAAGAAAGAAAAAAATCAAAATCAACAAACAACTATAAACCAGAGACACACTATGGGGGGGGGGGCAGAGAAAGGAGGGATTGGGGTCAAAAAAGGGGGTTGCAATTGTATGGGGAATATAAAAATAAAATTAAAAAAAAAGAAGTGGTCTATTCAAATTCAGCCAAAGAGAAAAAGTAAAATCCCCAAAATGAACTTCTACAGACACTGACACAAAGCACTCAAATATCCCAAATACTCTGTTTCTAAACAGTAGCTGTAGTTTCTTATTTACTATACTAATTGTAAGTAAATAGTGTCATTTATATAAACCAAATCTCATCCTAGAGTCACAGAATTTGCAAAATAGGGAATAAATTTCTACCAAGACTAGCAAAAATACAGTCCTAAATCGAATTTTTCCTAGGCTCTTTTCAGTGCTTAGTCACTTCTGCCTATTTACAAGGAAAACCATTTCACATCTCAAAGGAGGCAGGGAATTTTTATTCCAGACTGTCATGTCACCTGAGCTGCCTTAGACATTTGTTTCCATGCAACTCAAGAGAAGGAAGCAGCCAGCTAAGCATACTACCCCCTCCAGAACACAACCAGAAGCCAGTAGAGTACTCTGTATTCTGCCACTGTCTGCACTTACAAAGAGCTCTGGGTTTGTAGAAAAGCAGTTTTGTTCCCTAATACCAAATGCAAAAGGTGAGAATTAAAATGTAGCCTGAACTATCCCTGTCTCCTCTCTGATAACCACCAGAAGTGCCTCCCTTCTCTTCTACTTGAATAGAAACAGCCAGCAGATTCTTCTGGAATTCCAGGTGTCTGCAGCAGACTGGACATGTTGGGGGGAAAGGATGTCCTGAACAAACTCCACAAATATGGTTTATGGACTCACCCCCACTTCAGACCAAAGATACCTAAGACACCAAGAACTACAAATCCCATAATGTCATCATCACTGAAGGGAGGACTGCTGGGACCTGAGCGTGCAGTTAAGCAGCCAGGTTTGGTATAAAACCAGACACGTGGGCCACGAGGGTCTCTTGGGTTTTTTGCCAGCTCTCAGCGTGCCACTGGGGTTCCAGCTCAGCAGAACTGGTAGGATGCATTCACGAATTTATCTCCCTCTCTTTCCCGAGTTATTCATTTCTTCAATTCCCTTTCTTTTGTAAGTAAACCCTTTAATAACCTTTTTGTATGTGCCTGCAATTAAGTATTATTATAAGTCCCTTTTAAGCCCGCAGGTGAGGACCTACAGTCAGGTAACCCATTTCATATCGGGTTTGCCCTGTAACAGACATCTCTCCTGAGGTAACTAACAAAACCTGAAACTAAAGACTACCAAGCGTTGAAGGAATACTTCCAAGAAAGTAGCTAGCCTTAAAACCTTAAAATCTGATAACATTGTTTCAGCCAGAGGCAAGAACAAAGTGCAAGGTTTTCCACGAAAGGTTATTTAAGAGACAACCCTAGGCAGAGGCAAGTTTTTAAGTACCTACTATGTGTCCAGCATGATATCCAAACATTCTACTCACTCTTAAAAATGCAAAGCACTGTTTACAGAAAAACACCTGTAAGTACTTTCTCAACTAGATTCAGTAGCACCCTGCCAAAAACGAATCACATTTTTTTCAAACATTACTCCAGGTAGTAAAGTCTGGCCCGATGTGATCAAATCATCATCTGAAGCAGAGTTTAGTACATTTCCCAGAGGTATTAATGAAGGATTCTGACAACCAACTTGGATTATTTAGGGCTGATTTTCCTTCTAAAAATAAAAGTGTGATGAAAGTCACCATTTCCTCGACTTCAACAGACACCTCTCTCCTCGTTATTCCCAAATACCCCATAATAATAATAACTTTACGCACGTTTGCATCTTTATGAATAAAATATAAAGGCATTAATGAACTTCTTCTTGAGCGCGAAGACTGCAACCCGAAGAGGTTAAGGAATTGGCCTAGAGCTTGCCAGTAAAGGATCCAGGTCCTTTAGACTCCCAGGCCCCAGAACTTAAAATTAAACCACCCAGCTTCAAGGGACGCCACTAAATCCAGCTAATGTTCCCAATTAGTTTTCTATCACAAAACCTCTGCAGCTTGGCTCCGAACGGGGGTGGGGGCACCCACCAACACCTAAGGCAATTCCTTTTTAACGAATACAGCGCACGTTCCCGATTGCCACCCACCCCACGGGCAGAACCCACGTGCGGGTCCCGGCGCTGCCTAAGCAGCTCGCTCTCCGCGCCCCCCGGCCTCCGCCAGGTCCCCGAGTCGCCCCACGCCCTTCCCTCCGCCTCCCGCCCGCGCCGCCCACCCCCTCCCCAGCGGCGGCCGCCCGGCCCCAGCCCCCCGGGCCCCCGCGCCGCCCTCGCGCGCCGCCCGCTCCGGAGCCCGCACGCTCCCACCTCGGCCCCGCGGGGTTCCCCCCCGGCGCGCGCGAGCCCTTCCCGCCGCCCGGAGGAGCCCCGGCGAGCCAGCCCCGCGCAGGCCGCGCCCGCCGCGCCTGCCATGGTGGGCGCTCACCGTCAGGCTGAGGAGCCGGGCCCGGCTGCGCCATGGCCAGGTGGCCGGCCTCGGGAGCGGGGATGGGCGGGGAAGCGGCGTCCAGCGCTGCCGCGGGCTCAGCTGGCGGGAGAGGCGTCGACCGAGCCGCCGCCGCCTGCGCCCAGGGAGGAACCGCTAAGGCTGGAGCCGCCGGTGCCGCCACAGCCCCGGGCAGAGACGGACCCGAGCGCCGACCTCCGCCTCCTCATCCTGACAGCGGGAAATAAGCAGTGCGCATGCGCGGGGGGATGGGGCGGCACGTGACGTCGCCCCAGGGAGGGGCGGGGCTTCTCCTGAGGCGGGGGAGGGGCGGGGAGGGGGCGAGGGCGGGAGGCCAGGCTGGAGGCGCTGGGTCCGCCGCGGGACGCGGAGGGAGGCTGCAGGGAGGAGGGAGGGAGCGGTGGGATGCGCGGGGTGGGGCGGAGGGGGGGCACGTGGGCGGCGAGGGAGACTCGGCCTCTTGGAGGGCGCCTCCCAGTCGCCCGCTTTGGCAGAGAAGGACAGGAAAATAGATAAAGAGAGACCAGGGAGGAGGCCGGCTGGTGGAGTGAGTGTGAGTCTACTCTGCCTCTCGCCTCACTGTGTGACCTTGGGCGAGTCATTTCACTTCTTTAAGCTTCTTGGCCTCCATCCGTATGATGACTGAGAAATTTTTTAATAAAGTAAAGTATGAAGCACTGTTTGAGACTTAACTTTCCATTAAGCGTCTATGTGCAACGTGGCTTCAGTGGCAGGGGCTGGGATAGACGCTGGGGAAAGAGCCCAGCCACTCTCCCTGCACTCCTAGGAGAGGAGAGACAGGCGCCTACAGCGCTGCCTTTACACCTAGGGAAGAGAGCAGGCTCCAGGCCAGTACTTTAAAGCCTCCCTCTAAGGCACCCTCTGATCACACTCTTTCCACACAATGCGGAATCTACAAGGTCCAAGGGACATGCCCATCTGGCACCCGTGCTCCTCCAGAATCAAGTTCTGGGGACCTGTGAACCCAGAATTCCCTCCCAAATGCCTGGATGCTGTAGCTTCTCCCCCCAGGTCCATTTTCACTATGGCAAAATCTTGAGCAACTTTAAAAGTAGCTGAGGGGCCACTGTGTTTTGGGGGAGGTGGCACAGTACTTGGACATCTGAGCTTCTGGACATCAGACCCCCCCTAACGCAGAACAGAGATGGGAATAGAGGGCAGATGTGCCATGAGCTAAAAGCCCATCAGGTCTGGAGCTCCTCTACCTCATTCAAGTGCATACATCTGAGTACAGGAATTCTAAATTTGAACCTGGTCTTTCACCTCCTTAAAAATATGTATTTGTGAAGGTAAAAAGAGTACATTGAGATTAACAATTATTTGGAGTAATTTGTAATTTTAAATTAATTTAGGTAAACATGTGGCATCTATTATACCTTTGTCTCACAATCCTGCTCACATTAGGAAGGGCTTCAACAGAGACTTCAGTGTTTTGAGCAGGTAACATCCTTGGATGGGTGGTATGTTGGGGAGAGAGCAAGCAGTACTATTTCCTCCACCCCAGCCCCACCCCCAGTTCCCTCAGAGATGACTTTCCTGGGTGAGCAAATTTGCACTTGGCAATGAGAACCTTTGTCCCACATAGGGTAGCCCAGTGTATCTTCTACCTTATTGTGATGACTAACACAAGGCAGAGGTCACAAAGATAGCAGATATTGATGCCTTTTACTATAGGGGCTCGTTTCAGTGAAGAAGAGGCCCATTTATTGCCTCTTCTGGGATTCCAAGCCAGGCCCTTAAGATCAATGTCATTTGGAAGTGGTTAGACTGGTGGTTTAGACACCTAGATCTCCCTCTGCTAAGGAGGTGGTCTAAAAAGCAATTTTGAAATCAATCAAGAGTTATGTACATTTTCATATTTTTAAGTAAACCCTAACACACAGCAAGTTCACCCCTAGGTATATATTCCTAAGAAAATTGGCATGTGCTCAAAGCTTTTATTAAGTGCAAAAGATGTGATTCTTGTGTTCTGAAGGAAATTGAGAAATAAGATTTAAACATATGAAATAATTGTCAATTACATTGCACATGTACCCCAGGGGACACATACAAAAATATTCAAGGTGGTAGAGTTCCTCATCCATTAAATAAATGACCCAAATGTTCATCAACAGGATAAGGAAATAAATTCTAAAATGATCATACAACTTTACCACATTGAAAATGACCAAACTTGAATCCATTTAATTCTCAATCTGGGAAGCACAAACTTTAATGTAGTCTAGGTGAGAAATATTGGGGTTATTTGCCAATTAGGGGTTTTAATTAAGTAAATTCGATGCAGCTGCCAGAAAACTTTTTTTTTTTTTTTTTTTTTTTTGTGCTTCATTAGTATCAGAGTGTAGATTATAGAAGGTGATGCCTGTCCTGCACTTTGCCCTGATTGGGTCACAGCAGCGGTGCTGATAGTGTTTGTTCTGGGGCACCATTACTTAAAGGGCACACTGACTGGCTGAGGTGGGTGGAGCCACAGGGAATGTGGAAACTGAAATGATGTGTGCAAAGTACTTGGAGGTATCAGAGGAAGGTACTTCCGCATTGAGTTGAGCATGGGGGTGGGGGAAGATGTGTTGGGCTATGAAGACTATCATCAGACCCTGGAGGATAGTGGATACAATTATGTTGTAGGGCCAGAGATTGCATTTAGTTCAACCTAAAGGAGAACTTTTTCTCAGTTGGAGCTCACCAGACACAAGGCTACCTTTCAGAGAGTGAGTTGCCTGTCTCTGCAAGTGTACAAGTAGAACTGACTGGCAGTTGGTCAGAGGTTCTGTGAAAGAAATTCCTAATGGCACTGTCCCATTTACACTAGATAATTCCCCAAGGTTAAAAATGTCAAGTTTCTTTACTTTGGACAAAAGTATATCACGTTAATTATCTCATATTGATTAGGAGTTCTTATTCCAGTTCTATATTAGCTCTTCATTAATAATATGAAATGGGATCCATTATTACTAAATGAAGTTTGCTAGGTAGATAAGTAACTTTATATCTGGTGTGGTCTCCCCTCTCAGGATTCCTCTTTTAATGGCGACCACACCGTGACATAATTGCCTGGAAATAAAAATGGCTGACATTTACTGGTGTATACCATGTGCTCGGTACTGGGCAAAGTACTTTATCCTTGCAATGACTCATTTAATCCTCTTAAGAACCTTACAGTGGGAAGGTAGGGAGTAGGAGTAAGGGGGGTCTGTTGTTAACCCCATTTTATAGATAATGAGACCAAAAAGGTTAAATAATTCTTCCAAGGTCACAGAGTTAATAAGTAAGTAAAGCTGGAAATTAGACCCAGGCTATCTGGGTCCACTGACTGTATGTGTAACTCCATTGCTATGCTGCCAACTAAATTCATGTCTTTCTCCCATTGGGGAACAATAACAACTCCCAGAAAATGGGAAGAGTCATTTATTTCTAACATATATCAATTGCCTGACATAAGAAACGCTCAGTAAATACTTACTGGTTGAATGAGTGAATGAATGGATAAATAAATAATATTAGAAGTAGATGGAACAGAGCTTCCCTGGTGGCACAGCAAGCTGAGCACAGCGCTGTGAAGCTGCCCACAGCCTCTGTGGCACTGGTTCGATTCCAGCCCCTGGGGAGATTCCCACCTCTCCTGCCTCGCCCGCTGCTCCCCTCAGCAGTGTATTTCGGTCCTTCTGACTGTTCTGCTCCCTGCTCTGTCTCTGGTAGATTCTCTCACCCTCCCGCGCCTCTGGCCTGTACCCCAGTGCTTGTATAAATAAATAAATCTTCAAAAAAAAAAAAGTAGATGGAACAAATAATAAGGAATCCTTGCTAGTGACATGTATGTGCAATCTGCAGATGAAATCTTTGTGATTCAACTTGATTTGGTCATCATTAATCTATTTCTCAACTCTCATTGGATTATAGAACATAAGTTTAACCATTAACATTAATAATAATACTTAACCACTTAACTACATGGTGAGTACTACATGTTAGAGATCTTACCTCAGTCCTCATAACAGCCCTTTGAAGTAGGTTCTATTCATTATTTAGAAAGGTTAATCGACCAGCCCAAGTTACATAGTAAATGGAAGAAGGAGATTTCAACTCCAAATTTCTCTGACTCCAAAGCATATACTTTTTTGCTATCAGTGCTGGCTACCCATATCTATCAGAAACCAACGAATACCCTGTAACTCCTATACCATTGCCAATGAAATTCATTTTCAGAATTTTCAATCATATCTCCAAAAGCTATCCTCCCTTATATTTTTGTGCATCTTTTTCAAAAATTTCCAGTCCTAATTCTAAATTAAAAAGATAAAGCAAAAATACCCCCCAAACCTCTCCTCTCCTACACACACACAATCCCACACTTTTCCCCAGAACTATTATTATCAGCTTTATATGAATCCTTTCAGATATTTTTCTATGCATCTATGAACATGTAGGGTAGGGTCATGTGTCTCTGTTTTATGTTCCTTACATAGATAAGATCAAATTGTTCATATTACTTTTTAACTTTTCCTGCGATTAAACATATTCATGTATCTATTTAACTGAGGTAACTATGGTTTATGACATTATATAAGTTTCTAAATATATTATTCTAAGTGTGGTTTTTTTCCTTTAAAAATACAGACCAGTACATATAACTCTATTCAATCTTTTTGACTGCCACATAGTTTTCATTTTAGTAAATGGTTAAGTTACAATTTTTCTCTATTTACAATGCAGCAAGGAACATGCATGTATATTTTGACACTTATATGAGAGGTTTTCCAGGATATATACCTATACACTTGGAATTACTAAAATCAAAGATCATAAACACCGTTTCATTATCATCACAGACAAATTACTATCATGGGACCTCCCTGGTGGTGCAGGGTTTAAGCACTGCACTATGAAGCAATCCATAGCCTCTGCAGCACGAGTTCGATCCCTGGCTGACCAGGGAGCAACCCACATGGCACAGCAAACCTCTCCTGTCTCACCCGCTGCTCCCCTAAGCAGTGTTTTTCAATCTGCCTGTTCTGCTCCCCACCCTGTCTCTGGTGAATCCACTTACCCCCTGCATCTCTGGTCTGTACCCCAGCTCTTGTATGCATAAATAAATAAATCTTTAAAATAAAAAAAAATTACAAGCTTTTTAAAAAATTACTATAAAAAGTATCATAATGTATATTCCACTCAACATGTGTGAACATCTTTGCACATACCATTGCTAGCTTTTATCAATCTTCTTTCGCCTACCAATTTGATGGGCAAGAGGTTATATATTAATGACATTTTAGTAAGCATTTTCCTGAATATCAATGAGGTTAGGAATCATTTTACATTTTATTAGCTGTTTGCATTTCATCTACCACAGATTTTATTTATCTTTGGATATTTGTCACTGGTTGTTGTGTTTTATTATTGACTTAAAAGAGTTCTTAACATCTTGTAGATATTAATCTTTTATATGTAAAATATGAGGTATTTTCTTCCATTTTGTTATTTGTCTTTTAGTATTAATAATACTAGTAGTGTCATTTATTTACAGAATTTTAAGGTTTTTTGTTTTTTTAATTAATTTTTTTCAAGATTTATTTATTGTGCATACAAGAACTGGTGTGTAAGCCAGAGGTGCAGGGGGTGAGAGGATACACGAGAGTGGAGAGCAGAACAGACAGATCTACTGAAATACACTGCTGAGGGGAGCAGCAGGCGAGGCAGAAAAGGTCTGCTGCACCATGTGGGTTTCTCCCTGGCTGGCAGGTTTTCAAGCTCATGCTGCAGTGGTTGGCAATAGCTTGATAGAGCTGTTTTTAACCCCTGCACCACCAGGGAGGCCCCAGAATTTTAAGTTTTTAATTGTCAATTTATCTATCTTTCTATAGCTTTTTTCCCCTCTCTCCAAGAAGGTCTTTCAACGCTAAATCCATAAATGGGCAATGATTCTGTGAACATTTTCCCAGTATGCGTATATCTTTGGTTTTTCATGTTTTCCTTTTTAATCTATTAGGAATGACTTTTTACATGGTGTTAGGTAGGGGAACTAACTTTATTTTCAGGTAGACAAGTAATTGTGCCCAAATCATTATTCCCCAATAATTTGAAATGCTATCTTTATTATTGATAATTCCTATAAATATATTAACTAGAATTATTTCAGTTGCAAGGAAAAAAAAAACTCTCAAACCATTTAAGGAAAGAAGGAAAATTTTCTCATGTAACTTTCCAAAGGGAGAGGCTTTGAAAAAATTAACTAGAACAATGGAGGATGGGAGTGGAGCTATCTGAGTGGGACAATGGAGGCAGCAATTAGAAGCTATGGAAAAGAATAGTCATGCAAAAAAAAAGATAAACTTTAAAAAGTATCAAGAATATTAAAAGGTTTAGTATGTCCAAGAGACAAAAAAAAAAAGGGGGTCTCCCTGGTAGTACAAGGGGTTAAGACGCAACCTATGAAGTTATCTGCAGCCACTGCAGCATGAGTTCGATCCTGGCCAGGAGCTACCCACATGGTACAGCAGACCTCTCCTGACTCACCCGCTGCTCCCTCAGCAGTGTATTTTGGTCAATCTGCCTGTTCTGCTCCCCACTCTGTCTCTGGTGAATCTCTCACCCCCGCACCTCTGGCCTGTACCCCAGTTCTTATATGCATAAATAAATAAATCTTTTAAAAAATTATAATAACCAGGGACCAGAGTAGAGGAAAGCCAGAGTGGTAAGTGGGAAAGGAGAGGGAGGCCAGAGTCAGTCCTAAGACATTGATGCCACAACATGAACTAAATTATATTCTGTCTTTAAAAACAAAATTCAACTAAGTAAATCTTCAGTATTTCATCAGCTTTATTCAATGATTCATGAATTGAGTAGCATCCCATCTAGTAAACAGAAAGGAACTCTGAGGACCTGTGTAAAATGAGAGATTTTTATATGCAGAAGGAGTGGAAATAAGGAAGTTACATTAGGTCAAAGAGCAGTCTGATTATAAAGTCACTTTCTTGAAGGGGATGGCAGGGGGTTTTTCAGGAAGATTACCTAACTATTGCTGGTGAGGTGATTCCTGATTTACTGGTTTAAGATTCAACTTCTTAAATGTAATTTAATCTGTAATCAAATTAAGTATTGGCAAGATATAAAAGAAATCCAAACTGGGAAAGAAGGAAAACTATCACTATTTGCAGATGGCATGAATATATATGTAATATATATATGATGATAGTATTCCATATATATTGTTTTGTTTTTATATTGTTTTGAAAGATGAACTCTTGTTATTCTGGATGGAAATGGAGGGGATAATGCTAAGCAAGATAAGTCAGAAGGAGAAAAACAAATACCAGATGGTGTCACTTATTTGTAGAGTATAGAGAAATAAGACAAAGGATCAGACAGAACCAAACCAATAACAAATCCTAGCAGTCTGACCATAGAATTGAGGATACCACAATGGGAGGAGGAGAGGAAGGGTAGCAAACAGGATGGTGGAGGGTACACCATGGACTATAATGGAGGACTATGGGTGCCTTGGTTGTGGGTGTGGTTTGGTAACATACATCTGATGAAGTGTGATTCTATATCTCTGATAATATACAGTATCGTAAACCAATATTCCCTGAAGAAAAAAAAAATATTGATATAAGAACAACAAAAATAAAGTCTTGGTTTGGTGACATAAGGCTTAGTACAAGAGACTTAATTTTGGGTCTGCTGTCGTATTTTTTTTTTTAAGATTTATTTATTTATGCATACAAGAGCTAGGGTGTAGGCCAGAGGTGTGGAGGGTGAGAGAATTCACCAGAGACAAAGTGGGGAGAAGAACAGGCAGATCCACTAAAATACACTGCTGAGGGAAGCAGCGGGTGAGACAGGAGAGGTCTGCTGTGCCATGTGGGTCAATTCCCCAGCCACAGATCCAGCTGGTGCTGCAGTAGCTGCAAATTGCTTCATAATGCTGAGACTTAGTCCCTTGTGCCACTGGGGAGGCCCATTGTCATCTTAATATCTATTTTATTCCATCTATTATGGGAGGCCATCAGAAAGTTTTAAATGGAAGTGCTACATGGTTCAATTTACACTTTTAAAGGGATAACCTTGTTTACTATATGAAAAATAAATTATAGGAGGGAGGAAGGGTAATGATGGAAGTGGGGAAGAGTTAAGAGGTGCTGCCATAGTCAGTGATGGTAGTTTCATCCAGCATGATACCAGGGAAGATATAGAAAATGGACAGATGTTGGATATGACTTATGAGATAAGGATTTGCTGAGGAGGAAAGAGCTCTGTTTTTGTCAAGAACACCTATTGAGTATCTAACTGGAAATGTCAAATAGATAGTCAGGCATACAAATTTGGAGCTCAGGCAGGGGGATATGGTTAAGAAGTCAACAGTTCAGATGGTATTCATAATCAACAGCCAGAATATACAAAGAGCCCTGTAAAAATCTAAAGAGACAAAACTGAAAACTTATAGAAAAGTGGGCAAAGGACTTGAAGAGATTCATTTTTAAAAGACATTAAAAGTTCATTTTAAACATATAAAAGACCCAAATTCACTCAAAACACAATGCAATTGAAACATTGAGATACTGTTTCTTATCCATTGAGTGACAAGTTCAAAAGGTTGACAACCTCCTGTACTAGTGAAGCTGTAAGGAAAACAGGCACTCATTTATTTACATTGCCGCTGGAAACACACTTCAAATAAAAACAAGCCCTAAGAGTGAAGGTTTTCAAGTGACAGCCAGACAGATCTAATAGTGACAATTGTCTGAGTTGGGTTTTTGGGGGAAGTTCAAAGTTGTTCTATTCCCTCCAGGGAGGCCCAATTATGGCATTATTTTTAATAGCAAAATATTAAAACAACCCGTATGCCACCTACATTGAAAACTTGTTCAATTAAAGACACCTACCTGGCAAGGGAGACACCATGATCACAACGGTGGTTTTCCCCAGGTGAGGCTCAGCCGTTGTACTCTGGATGTGCTGACCTCTGTGATTTCCCCAAATGTGGAAAATTGAATGCATAATTTGTAGAAGTGGAGGACTGCATTCACACTTTGCCCTAAGAAAAAAATGAATATATAATAAGATGAACATATGCACAATTGAATGATACATGGTCATAAAAGAGAATATATAAGAGTTTTATGTGTTACTATAAAGTGAATGCCAAGATATCTTATTAAGAGAAAAAAATCAGAGTTTAAAAAAATATGTAAAGTATGGAAATGCACATGCAAGTGTCTTTCTAGAGTCCCAAATTAAATCAGAGATTATCAAAGCCCTCTATGGAAATCCATTCCCAAGTTTTTCCTTTTTTATTTTCCCCTTGGAGTTATTTAAAAAATTAAATCATCAAAAGATAGTCATGTTGGGCCTCCCCGGTGGTGCAGTGGGTTGAGCACAGCACTGTGAAGCTGTCCGCAGCCTCTGCAATGTGGGTTCGATTCCCTGACCAGCCAGGGAATACCCACATGGTGCAGCAGACCTCTCCTGTCTTGCCCACTGCTCCCCTCAGCAGTGTTTTTGGTCCATTTGCCTGTTCTGTTCACCTTCTGTCTTTGTGAAGCCTCTCACCCTCCTGCCTCTGGCTTGTACCCCAGTTCTTGTATAAATAAATAAATCTGTTTAAAAAAAAAAAAAGTCATGTTGTATTCCATTAAATTGTAGCTCTTAACAAAACCAATCAATAAATTAACAAATATCCAGTTTCTCCTGTTTGTTCTTTGGTCAGCCTTTCACTAGTCCCAACTGGTATTACCACCTCAAGCAACTAAGATATAAGCGATTGCAGCTATTTTTTTTTCCAACAAATACCTGGGAATAGGACTGCTAGGCATAGAATAAGTTCTGAGTCACTTCAAATAAAACAAGCCCTAAGAGTGAAGGTTTTCAAGTGACAGCCAGGCAGGTCTAATAGTGACAATTGTCTGAGTTGGGCATTTGGGGGAAGTTCAAAGTTGTTCTGTTCCTTCCAGTGGCTGCTAAGCTTCTGATTTTCATAGCTAGTACAGTTCCAAGGATACTGAAAAGCTGAGCGGAAGATGGTAAGAGAGTAAGTTAAAATGCCAGAAAGCCTTCTATTCTTACCTAGATTCTTACTAGATTCAGCTGTTTTCCTTGGATAAATCTTCCTTGAAGTTTAGCAAGCCTTTGATTACTTTTCAGAGTTCTGAAAAAGTTGATTTCGACAACTTTTGCCAGTGTTCTTGTTACTTTTATGGAGGAGTAGATTTTCAGAGATCTTTGTCATTCTGGAAGTGCTTCTATCTTTATTCATTTTTTTTCCCACAATAAGAAACAGAATAAATCAGAGACTATTAATAATCACTATACAGGGTATAATTATCAAGCAACTTTGGGTATATTATAGGATAAAGCAAATGAACAAATACATTGATTTTCGTTGAAAACCAGGTTTCTCATAATAGGAGAAGGAAAGTACAAATAGAGGAGACAATGGTAGAGAGGTATTTGCTGAATTTAAATTGTGTATTTTTTCATAAGTTCAAATTTTTGCTATGTCCACTCCATGGACTTAGAACCAATGATATCCCAGTAGCAATGAACATATCTAGTATCCAGTCCTTGGTTTCTAAATACTACACCCCATTAAAAGAAACAATATTTCAAGAAATGGATGATTCCAGGACGGGGGCAGGCAAAGTAGAAGGTATACCTGGGACATTTAATGTCAGAAATCAAAGAAGACTGAAGACTAAAGAAATGGCAATGTCCGTAGGATAAGAGTTTAACATGATTCCCATTGGCCAAGTTAGTGACATGCTAAAATACATGCTAAAATTTGAATATCAATATGAGTAAAGTTGATGCATTCTGTTTTCCCATTAGTCCAAGTAATACTAAAATGAAAAGAGAAACAGAAATGCAAAGTTCTTCATTACAGAAGAATTCTAAGTTATAATCATACAAAGAATGGCAGAATAAAAGAAAGTAACCATTCTGCAACCCCCATTGTAATAGTTGTTTAGGCGAGGATCATCTGTTGTATCTGAATCTAATCATGAGCAAACTATCAGATGAATCTAGAGTTTCTCAACTTCTGCACTACTGACATTTTGGGGTGGATAATTCTTTGGTCTGGGAGCTATTCTGTGCACTATAGGAAGTTTAGTAGCACCCCTGGCCTCCACCCACTAGATGCCAGTAGATTGTTATGCATTGAATGTGAAAGCCCCCTCCCCCACAATTCGTATGTTCAAACCCTAACCCACAAGGTGATGATATTAGGAGGTGGGAACTTTAGGAGGTGTTTAGGTCACGAGGGTAAGCCCTCCTGAATGGCATTAGTGTCCCCATAAAAGAGACCAGAGAAAATTCCCTCCCACATTTCACTTTTTAAGATATATATAAATATACTTCACCAGACACTCAACCTGCCAACACCTTGAACTCAGACTTCTCAGCCTTCAGAATGTCAAAAAAAAGTTTTCTGTTGTTTATAAGACACTGGTTTATGGCATTTCATTACAATAGCCCTATATGTCTAAGATACACCTGCCCCTTTGTGATAACCAATAATATCTCCAGACATTATCAAATTTCCCATGGGGAACAAAATCACCCCTTTTGAGAGCCACTAATCTAGAAAGCATTCTGTAAAGAATGGACTTTTGAAAACAGTCAATATTGTGGAAAACAACAAAAGACAGGGAGGGATGATCTTTTTAATAATGAAAGAGACTAAAGGTAATGATGAAATTTATGAGTAATTCTTGATTAGACCTTGGATTTAAAAGAATTATTTCTCTTTTTTTTAAGATTTATTTATTTATGCATACCAGAGGTGGGGTGTAGGCCAAAGGTGCAAAGGGGGTGAGAGGATTCACCAGAGAGAATGGGGAGCAGAACAGGCAGACTGAAATATGCTGTGGAAGGGAGCAGCGAGCGAGACAGGGATCCAACTAGTGCTGCACTGGCTGCAGATAGCTTCATAATGTTGAGACTTAATTCCTTGCACCATCAGGGAGGCCCTAAAAGAATGATTTCTATATAGATCATAGTTCAGAGATTTGGGAAAATTTGAAAATATACTGCATAGTGATTAATTATTGTTAATTTTCTTAGCTATAATAATAGTTTTATAGTTCTTTAGGAAAATACTTCAGTTTTGGAAGGTAGATGTTAAAATATTTAAAGGAACTGTATCATGTTGATTGAAATTTGTTGAAGCCAAGGTTGAGCCAAAGTGTATAGGGTGGGGAAGAGATGGAGAAATTACACACACAAATATTGGCAAAATGACAGCAACTGATGAATATCATTGAAAAGTACAGAGATACTCATAATTATTACTCTTCAAACTTCTAGGTAAATTTGAGATTTTTCAAAGCAGGAAGTTGAGGGGAAGTGTGATAAAATGCATAGAGCAGGGAAAAGTAGGTAAACAGGTTGGAAATCATTTAGAGAGAATATAGAAGAGAAAGACTACCGAGGACAGAGTCATGGGGAAGCAAAAAATGTTGAGAAGAAAGAAAAAACAGGGGAGTATGAAATCCTGAAAGCTCAAGAAGAAAGTGTCTTGAAAAGGACAAAGCATTCAAGAGCATCAAATGCTTCTGAGAAGTTCAATAAGGTGCCAAAGAAAAACTCAAACGGCCTCCCTGGTGGCGCAGGCAGTTGAGCTGTGAAGCTGTCCACTGACTCTGCAGCGCAGGTTCAATCCCGGCTGGCCGGAGAGAATTCCACAGGGTGCAGCAGACCTCTCCTGTCTCACCCACTGCTCCCCTCAGCAGTGTATTTTGTCAGTCTGCCTGTTCTGTCCCCGCTCTGTCTCTGGTGAATCCGCTCACCCTCCCGCGCATCAGGCCTATACCCTGGTTCTTGCATAAAAATAAATCTTTTAAGATTTATTTTTATTATTTATACAAGCATTGGGCACAGTCAGAAGCGCGGGAGGGTGAGGGAATTCACCAGAGCCAGAGCGGGGAGCAGAGCAGGGAGAAGGATGGAAGGTACACTGCTGGGGGGAGCAGTGGGCGGCAGGAGAGGTCTGCGCGCCATGTGGGACCCTCCTCCGGTGGCCGGGGAGCAGCCGGGATCGAACTGGCGCTGCAGAGGCTGCGGGCAGCTTCGCAACCCAGCGCTCAACCGCTGTGCCACCGGGGAGGCCCCAATAAATAAATCTTTTTAAAAAGAAAAGAAAAACTCAAACAAGCAAACATTTGCTTGGGTAGATGTAGGTCATGGTGACCTTAATAAAAGAGTGAGGACAAGAGCTTGATGAAGTGGTTTTGTGGAAAGATGGACATGAGGAAGGAGAGCAAGAAGAGACCTTCAAATGATGAGTTTGAGAAAGAGAAGAGAGAAATGAGGTGAGTTGAAAGAGGACTGTGTTTGAAGGAGGTTTTAGTTCTGTTTATATTTTAGAAGATGAATGATACAAAGATATGTCCCTATGCCACTGAGAATGATCCAGTAGAATGTCAAAGAGGGGAGACTGCAGGAGTGAAGTCTTTGAGTAGGTAAGGGGGATGGACAGAGAGCATGTGGAAGGGTTGCCATGGTGGAAAGAGGAGGTAGAGAGAGCTCCTCTGAATGAATCTCTTTTCTGGAGGGATCACTAAACAAAGACACCATTGGAATGAAGGGGAGATATTGGACATTTGATGTCAGAAATATGAAATAGTATCTCAGGAAGTGAAAAAAGAAAAATGAATAGTCTGATAGTGTTGCAAGCTCATTTGAGACTTATGGACATAAACTGAAAGTGAGTAATTTTAAATAAGTATGGTGAGTTGATTTTCTCTTGTAACATTCCCTTGTGTGGGTGCAGAGGTAGAGAGAGTAAGAAAATATTTGGATTTTATAATTTGTTGGCTGCTCAGAATCTGAACCCCTTTCCAATCTGTTAGAACCTCTTTCCTTTGCAGCTATGAGTTCATGACATAGGCAGTCTCTGCACTGTCCAGAATTTTTTGTTTTGTTTTTAATATTTTATTTTATATAATTATTACATCATTTTTCATTTTTTCACAATGTATGCATTTTCATTTTGCTTATATTCCCCATACAATTGCACCCCCCCTTATTTTGACCCTAGTCCTTCCTCTCCCCTTCCCTCCCCCTCCACCCCCAGAAGTGTGTCTCTGGTTTATAGTTGCTTGTTGATTTTGATTTTTACTTTGTATTAATCAGTATTTTTCTTGGTCCCTTTAGGTTTTCTAAATTCCTGCTAAGAGTGAGACCATCCGGTATTTTTCTTTTTCTTTCTGACTTATTTCGCTGAGCATGATCCCTTCTAGCTCCATCCATGTTGCTGCAAACTGCATGTGTTTCTCTTTTGTGATTGCTGAGTAATATTCCATGGTGTATATGCACCACATCTTCTTGATCTAGTCATCTATTTTTGGGCATTTGGGTTGTTTCCATAGCTTAGCTATTGTAAATAGTGCTGCTATAAACATAGGAGTGCAGGTGCCCTTTGGAATTAATGTTTCTGTGTCCTTTGGGTAAATACCTAGGAGTGGAATTGCTGGATCATATGGAAGCTCTATCTTTAGTAGGTCAAGAAATCGCCACACAGCTCTCCATAGTGGTTGGACCAGTTTGCACTCCCACCAGCAATGTAGGAGAGTTCCTTTTTCTCCACAACCTCGCCAACATTTGTCCTGAATTTTTGAATGGGAGCTAAGGAATCAACAGAGGCAGTGGTGCATCATCACTGACTGTTACAGAGATGGAGACGGCAACATCCAGTTCCTAAAGGCACAGTGCCAGTGGAGCCATCAGCAACACCACTGAAGGATTGCCCCTCTGGGATGGCAGCAGAAGTGTCCTCACCAGTGGGTTCTATGCCATAATTTTGTTTGTGGTTCTCACTGCATAACCTCAAACCTGCTTCTCCAGCTCTCTTGGCAATACCTTGAGCCAGCCCAAGTCTATGCAATGGAAATTATTTAATTTATAAAATTGTACATTAATTATCATAAAACCATTGAGTTCATTTACAGATAAAGCAACAAACTCAACTTCCTATAAGAAGCAGACTTTGTGATCTGCACAAGCAAATACAATCTGTCAGCATAAATATAATTTACAAGTTTGTGGTTATCCCAAACTTTGTGGTAAAGGTTACATTCCTGTAAAATTAAACAGAAACAAAACACCTTTTGTGTTCTAACAAATGACTATCTCATGCAACAGCTGTAGTTCCTTCTCCTTGAATACCAGTGAACACATGGAGAGAGGAACTGACAAGGAAGCCAGGGTGTCTAGTTTAATCACGTATTCGATCTCTGGTGACAGCTGGCTAGTCTCCAGCTATGCTACCTTTTTCTTCTTTCTCTTGAGATTGCAATAACCTGCACAACACATGAATTCGCATATAATTTGGGCAAATACATTATTTCCTTTCCAGCCTTTTTATCAAATATCCCTATGACCAATTTTAACCTAATTTTAAACCAAGACTGGATTAAAGTTTTAAATCTTATCATTTTGAGCTACATTGACTCATTTTTTCCTCTGCACTCAATAATCCCACTTTTGCTTCTCAGGCCTCCTACATTAGGGTGTTGTTGCTGTTTATTGTTACTTCTTATTTTGCAAGTAAGAAATGCAAACCTTCAAGAGTTTGAGTCAGAAGCCACACAGCTAATTAGTGACTGCCAAGTTTTTGCTCAGATTTTGTGGCAGCAAGTCCAAGCCTTTTTCGGGGTATTCCACAGCTGCTGGTTTCTTTGATGCTTGTTTTTGTTCTAATTTGAATACCAAGAAGTTAATAATGATAGTTTTCTATGTTTATATAACAAACTACTTAGCCCATGAGGAAAGTTCTTCAACTAAATTCAAGATTATTTCAAAGCTTTTAAATTGAGTTTAAAAACACAGACTTTGTAAAGCTACTACTTTTATACAAAAATATTTATTTCAGTAAATTTGAAGATCATAAAAATGAATGTCAGAATGTTCTTAAATTGTATCTTACAAAGAAATGAGAATACGTTTTACACACTATTTTGCAAATTGCTTATTAATTTAACATATATGGTGTACTTTATTCCTGTACTTAAATGTTTAACTGATTTTTGTAGTATGCTATAGTATTTTAGTGTGTATTATTTTTTATTACTTATTACCCTATTGATGAGTATTGGACTAGTTTCTAATTAAAACCAGTGCTGCACTCAGCAAAAGAGACTAAGAGAAACCCCACCAACTGAAACATTTTACACATATTAAGGACTGTCACAAAATCTGCAAAGAAGCTGATGACTACAACAAAGAAATAATCAGTCAAAAAATGGCAGAAGAGCTAAACTTCTCTAGGAAATGCAAATGGCCAACAGGCATATGAAAAAATGTTCAACATCACTTGCCATCAGGGAAATGCAAATCAAAACTACCATGAGATACCATCTTACACCAGTGAGAATGCACATATTAAAAAACTAGCAACAACAAATGCTGGCGAGGGTGTGAACTTTTGCACTGTTGGTAGTGCAAACTGGTCCAACCACTGTGGAGACTGTGTGGAGATTTCTGGACCTACTAAACATAGAGCTTCCATATGTGCAATTCCACTCCTAGTATTTACCCAAAGGAGAAACACAATTGAACACCTGCACCCTATGTTTATAGCAGCACTGTTTACAATAGCAGCTTTCAAATGCCCTAGATGACTGGATCAAGAAGATGTGGTACATATATACCATGAATATTACTCAGCATTCAAAAAGATAAACACATGCAATTTGCAGCAACAGATGGCGCTGGAAGGGATCATGCTCAGCGAAATAAGCCAATACCGGATGGTCTCACTCATAGCGAATCTAGAAAACTTAAATAAGGGACCAGGAAAATGAATAACTATAAGAAAGTGAAAATCAAAATTCAACAAAAAACTATGAACCAGAGACACTTTTATGGAGGCGTCAGAATGGGGGTCTGCAATTGTATGGGAATATACAATAAAATTATAAACCAGTGCTGCACTAATGAATAACTCATAAATAAAGGTTTAATAGGTGAGTTTCAATTAAATGAGGATACTTAAAAGTGAGAGTACATTTAAAATTATTTTTGGTACAAACTGCCAATTTTCCTCTCCCAAAAGACTTTGCAAATTTACTGCCCTACCAGTAGTGAATAAAAATACCATTCCCCCACACCCTCATCAATACTGTATATTACTAGTCTTAAATTTTGGCAAGGGGGGCCTCACTGGTGGCGCAAGGGGTTAAGACACAGCCTATGGAGCTGTCCGCAGCCACTGCAGCAAGGGTTCGATCCCCGGCCAGGGAGCAACCCACTTGGAGCAGCAGACCTCTCCTGACTTGCCCGCAGCTCCCCTCAGCAGTGCACTTCGCTCAATCTGCTTGTTCTGCTCCCCACTCTGTCTCTGGTGAATCCTCTCACCCCTCATACCTCTGGCCTGTACCCGGTTCTTGTATGCCTAAATAAATAAATCTTAAAAATAAAATAATCCAGTCCAATTGTTTAAAAAATTTTTTTGGCAATCTGACAGGTGAAAATAAGTTTTCTTTTGTATTTCTCTAAGTTAATAAATTAATTGCCCATTTTATTTTTAGTCTTAAATTATCTATTTATATCCTATCCCTTTTTAATCAGTGATGTACTACAATTTGTTCATCCATTCAGCCTAAGTTTATTAAATTGGCTTATTTGTCTTTTCATTTATTTATAGGAGCATTCTATATGTTATGGATATTAATCCTTTATCTGTTGAATGGGTTACAATTATTTTCTCCAGCTTCATCTAATTTTGTAAAATCTATCCCAGTATGGAAGGTTTTGGTTTTTAGTATATACATTTTATATATATATATATATAGAAGAGAGAGAGAGAGAGAAAGAGAGAGAGTCAAACTGGTAAATATGTACCTTATAGCTCCTAGTCTTTATAAATTTGTTCTGTCCTGCCATTTAGCTAAATTGAGCTCAGTCATAAATGATAAATAGAAGTTAGCCAGGTGAAGATAGGGGTAAGCATTCTAAGAGGAGAGATTGGAAAGGCAACCACACAAAAATGAGAAGTGCAGTGTTTTCCCCAAGCTGGCCTCCTTCTAATTGCTTCTATGTGCCCAGGGCCCTGTGGCTGAGAGCACCCTGCTGTGTAACTGAGAGGTGGAGAGTAACTTAGTGTTTGCCTTAGATCTGCCCTCCCTAGGCAGGTTACTTTGGCCAAGGCACCAAACCCCAAGAATGACTTTATTTCATGTATTTATTCTTTCATTCAATATTTAAAGAGTAATTACTACATACCAGGCACTTTTTCAAGTACTGGTGGATACCCTGATGAAAACAACAATGTTCCTGCTCCCACAGAGCTTTTCTCTGGTGAAGAGTAAAATAAAAGCAAATAAAAGGCAATGTCACCCAGCAATGCGTTCTTAAACAAACAACATGAGGACCTCCCTGGTGGTGCAAGGGGTAAGACACAACCTATGAAGCAATCTGTAGCCACTGCAGCACGAGTTTGATCTCTGGCTGACCAAGGAGCAACCCACATGGTGCAGCAGACCTCTCCTGTCTTGCCCGCTGCTCCCCTCAGCAGTGTATTTCAGTCAGTCTGCCTGTTCTGTTCCCCACTCTGTCTCTGGTGAATCCTCTCACCCTCCCCGTGAATCTGGCCTGTGCCCCAGCTCTTGTATGCATAAGGGTAAGGTAAAAGTATCAGGCTTTTCTGCCCTCCCGCCATTAGGATAGATGAGGGAACCCTGTGGTCCTGAATGCATGCCTGATGGCAGGCCCCTGAAGTGGGTAAACCTGGGCTGAGAGACTGAGTTTATAAGGGCGGTGTCGCCGGGATGCCAGAGAAGCCAAGAACAAGCAGAAGCCAAGAGAAGAAGAGAAGCAGAGAGAGCCCAGATAGAGTCCAGATAGAGTGAAGATTTGCTGGGAGGACTGCCAGCCTCCCGGCCCCCCAGCACCCCTGCCTGCCATATGCCTGCTAAATCTAAATAAAGACCTGCAGAAAACCACTGAGGACTCTGACTCCTGCTTTACCCAGTCTGCTGGATCATAGAAAACCTGCTCAGTGGCCAGTCCTGCGTCTACAGAGGAAGTGGAAAGAGTGGGAATGTGGGGGCCTGAAAGGGGGTGAGGATGCTACTTAGATAGGGTGATTGGGGACAATTTCTCTGAGGAGCTATTTGAACAAAGAGCTGAATAATGAGAAGGAACCAGGAGTGTGAAAAGCTGGGGAACAGTATCTCAGGGAGGAGGACCAGCAAGTGTGAAGACCCTGAAAAAATCCGTCTTAGCGCAGCACACGACTGGAAAGACTGGTGTGACTGGAACTTGGTAAGGGAGCCAGAAGCTATAGGGCCTGAGGTCACAGAGTTTGTTGGGATGGTGCTCCAGTGAGGTCTTTCTTCCAGCTTTCCTAGCACTTGTCCAGTTGACAACTGTTCTGCAACCATCCCAGGTCGGGTAGGTTCATTGTCATTTCAGGCAGCTTAAAAGAGAGAATCTTGGCGCCCTTGGCATCATCCCCATGGGTTTATTTTTTAATAATACGCGGGGGAAACAAGCCAGCAGGAAGACAGCAACTTGGGCCCCCCTGCAAATCTCCACATGCTCTTTTCTCTCCTAGCTGTTCTCCACTACTCTCTACTGCACACTCTCCTCTGTGATACCACCCTAATAGCGTCAGCCTCCCGGCTCAAGTATGCCCACTTTCGCATGCCACACCATACTTCAGGTATCCACCAAGCACATTCTCCCAAGTGCCTCTTGCATTCAAGGCCACAGGTGATAGCCACAGAGGCCAACAGCGCAAAAGCCTGACCATCACTTACCCTATTGTCTGACTCCTTTAATGTCCCGACCCGCGGGATTCGGAGGCACGAAAAGAGAAGGGCTGAGGCTTGAAATGAGGGGCTTGAGACAACTTGACCCTAGCGTTTGCTTCTTTATTTTTCCTTTATCCTTTCCTACTTTTACATATCTTTCTTTTCCCTGTCTTTCTTACTTCCCTGGCCTTCTCTCTGCTCCTCTCGCAGTACCCCTTGCCATATCTCCTTATAGTCTCCTCGCAGTCTCCCTCTCGTGGTTCCCTTCTTATACCCCGGTCGCTCCTCCATCGTACTCTCAGTCTCGCGTGATTTACAGGAGAACGCAGGGGTTTCTCCGAAGGCGAAACAGTAAATCGAAACCTAATTCATCGAGCACATGTGCAACACGGCGCATGCTCCAGGCGGCTCCAGACATTTAAAATTTGTCCTGCCTCCTTCAATTTCTTTTATTTTTTTAGATTATTTATGCCTACAAGAACTGGAGTACAGGCCAGAGATGCAGGGGGTGAGAGGATTCACCAGAGACAGAGTGGGGAGCAGAACAGGCAGATCTACTGAAATACACTGCTGAGGGGAGCAGTGGGTGAGACAGGAGAGGTCTGCTGTTCCATGTGAGTAGCTCCCTGGCCGGGGATCGAACTGGTGCTGAATTGGCTGCAGATAGTTTTAGAGTGCTTAAGCGGCTTCCCCACTTCCCAAATTGGTGTACTTCCTACTCTCTATGCTGTAGAAAGCAAGATTCTTCTGACATGTCTAAAACTACATTTGGCTCCCTACAGCTAGCTGGATACAACTTATATTTCTTAGACAGGTATACAAATCCTTCAAGATAGAAGACTTACCTTGTCTCAATATCCTGTGTCCATCTGTATTGGGTTCCTAGACCCAGTTCCAATGAGAGCATGGGTAGACTTACCCACATAAATAAGCAAATATCAGACACCAGCAGGATTCAACTCAATTCTGACACCATCTACCCAGAGATAGTGTCAGATTCCCCAGGTTAAAGGCTCAGCCTACAGAGACAGTCCTCCGACCAGATATGCTGCAAACCTTCAAGCCCCAGGTGCTTCTGACCAGTGGACCATAAGTCAGAAGTTCCCCTCCTCAAGTTTGATTAACTTGCTGGAACCACTCGCAGAACTCAGGAAATCTGTTTACTCACTTGATGGCTATTAAAAGAATATAACAGCCAGATGGAAGAGATGCATAGGACAAGGGATGGGGAAAAGCTTGGCGTTACCATGCCTTCTCCAAGGCACTGTTCTATCCAAATCTCCATATTCACCAACCATGAAGCTCTCCAAAGCCCATCCTGGCCGCCCTGATGGCGCAAAGGGTTAAGCACCGCACTATGAAGCAATCCGCAAACTCTGCTGCAGGAGTGAGTTCGATCCTGGATCCCAGCTGGCCAGGGAGCAAACCCACATGGCGTAGCAGACCTCTCCTGTCTCGCTCACTGCTCCCCTCAGCAGTGTACTTCAGTCAATCTGCCTGTTCTGTTCCCCACTCTGTCTCTGGTGAATCCTCTCACTCCCCCCCACCCACACTTCTGGCCTGTACCCCAGCTCTTGTATGCATATATAAATAAATCTTTAAAAAAAAAAAAAACAAAGCCTATCCTTTTGGGCTGTTATGGAGAATTCATTACATGATTTATTAACTCTTGACAATCAGCAAATTGAACTCAACCTCCAGCCCTTCTTCCCTCTAGAGGGTTGGGAATGAAAATTCCAACCCACTAACCTCAGGTGCTTCCCAAAAGGCAGCTCAGTAACTTAACTACAGACACCTTTATCACTCTCAACACAGGAAAATTTCTAGACTTCTGGGAGCTATGAGCCAGGAATTGTGGCTGAAAACAAAATATGTATGAGAAATATACTTTGGCCATCTGAATTACCAAATATATATTTCTTATAAATCTCAATACTGTACCATCTTAACCTAAGTGCCCAATATCAAACTTCTCGGAGGTATCTTCAAGCTCACCTACCTGACTCTGCTCTGTAGTGGCAGGAAGGCACAGAGCAGGTTTTCCATGATCCAAGCAGACGGGTAAGAGGAGTCTTGAGACCACTGTGGCTTTTCAGGCTATTATTGAGCTTTTTACACCATTTGGAGTGTGGCAACCAGGTACACAGCAAGCAGAGGGCTGGGGGTATGGGGTGGGGTGTGCAGGAGGCTGGCAGGCTCTCTAGCGTTCTGGGCTCTCTAGCGTTCTCTTGTGGACTCTGCTTCTCTGTTTCGCCTTTGCTGTTCTGCTGGTTCTGCTCTCATTCTTTTGCTGCTTCCACCACTGCTGACAACCCTGTGACACTGACATTATAAGCCCAGTCTCTAAGCCCAGGTGTGCCCACTTATGCATGCCCACACTTTACTCCAGGTGCCCGCCATCAGGCATGCATGTAGGACCACAAGGATGTAACATTAATGCTGGTGGGGGGAGGGCGGAAAAGCTTGATAATTTTCACTTACCCTACAGCATACCTCTCAGTTTATTCCTGTTGCCAACATATTGTAAGTTACTGGGATAACATGCCCTTCCCAGCACCCATAACCCCTGCCCAAACTGACAAGTAAGGCTTTGATCTTCATAGACTTAAAGTGCTTAGAGTGTGAATGGGCTCCATCCTGTCACTTATACAGGAGTTCTGTATGAAGATAAAGCCAGTCCTTTCACGCTCACTGAAGACCAAGAAGTCAGATAAAGACAATTATCAATAGTAACCAGACTTTGCCTCTCTGCAGTGGTTTCTTTAGAAAGGAAGAAGTTAAATCCTGCATTGCCTTCTGCTCGCATCAGCATATCTGTTGGGACAATTTACAACCAGAAGCCCTCCTATGAAAAATACTTACATTCTTAACGCCATGACTCCCTGTTCCTACCTATATTAACTAAATCCAACTTGTGGTGTTGGATGGGCTCTCACAGAGTAAAACTGGCCAGCTGGCTTCCCAGGTTTGCATTCTCAGTTTAATTATCTAGTGAACTCTTAGTCTAACCATCACCACTAAAACACTATTTTCAGTTAACACAACCACTAACCTTTCAGGACTTGGCGATATGTTTCCATCAAAACTTGGGCTTGGCCCCCATTTTTCTCTGGACTATGCTATCTCCCCTGCACACACACCTTCTCTGTCATCAGGTTGCAAACTTGTGTCCTGGTAGCCATCCCTACAACACAGATCTGGATCTGCCGGCTCAGGGAAGCATCAGTCCTGGTCTGTTGCCCTGAACACACACAGGGAAGTCAGCCAGTCAGGCAGGCAGCCACAGTTATATTTAGATTTCTGTCACTTGATGGGTCACCCATTAATCAGGGCACCATGGCAGCTGTG